TTCGATGAAATCTGTGCATCGCCTACGATGGTGACTCTTTCCGTTTCAGGTATGATGTTTGGCTGTTGCGAGCTCTGTCGTTCGGATCGGCTGAAATTGGTCGAGAAATGATCGTTATTAGAATTTCTTACCCGTTGTTCGTCCCTCAGGGAAAAGCAGATGAAGATATCTTACGGATAAAAGCACTGACTTGTACATCGGCTGGCCACAGCAAGGTATAGGTCACAGATGCATTCAATACGCCACTACGATTCTGAATGGAAGCCGATTGCGTGGGCGCATCCCTTCAAGGGTATTAATCAACGCCACAAGACTTCATCCTTTATGTCTGAAAATTAATTCATTGTCAAAAGTTCTCGATTAGACATAAACTAAACGTTACCATGTTCACAAACCTATATCCATGAGATTTCTCCATTGAACAAAAACCACTGGTCAGCTCTCGCGGAATGTGGAAATGTTAGTTCGTCTAGTAAGGAGCTACACATTTTTACTGATCTCCAATTTCCCACTGGAACTCTATTTTTGTTTTATCTCTATTTACTGGTGTATTATTTACATGCATTACTATCTTATCGTTAGAATTCTCCTTCTATTGCACAACACATCCATATTCTCAGTTCTGTATTATAGGATATGGGAGGAGTGGCAGGTGACGAGCTACCATAAATATAACCTTGTATCGAATCCCATGCCAACAGTGTCTTACAGCAATGAAGGACTCTTCAGTTAGTACCAATATTTGTCCCTAACCTATACATCGGCCTGCCCTTGAGTTGTGGTTGTATTAGCCATTACTCTACAATATGTACAACTAGCAAGACAACCCGTAGAGGTCCCTTCAGCTGCAAGGGAATATTTTGTGACTTGGACATGAACTTAGTGGTTTTTTCCTATTTCCAGCGTGTAAAAGGCAAGAACAGTTTCGAATTACGATGAGGGCTTGAAATGATCATTCGACCGAATGACTAGGCCTGGACCACTTAGCAATACTAGTCTGTGCCCTTGGGAACGAGGTTGTTCCCGACCAATGTGTGTATGAACAGATGGCTCGCAAAATTTAGAATCCAATTACTGTTTCACTTCAATCACACTTTTAAGAGCGGAGAAGAGCTGCTGTCTACCAAAACTTCTACTTACGAAAACCAGTCAGAGTGACGGTCTTTTCGCACCTCATGGGAGAAAAACTCAATTTCTCAACTCAATTTACTGAAAAAACTCCATATACTTGTATTCTACGAAATAATTACAGAACATTTTATACAAAAAAGCAATTTCAACTCAACAATAAATTTGTACATTTCACACGATATAAATACGTAAATTGACTGTTGATGTCCCAGGTATTTAACTAATAAAGCACTATTTTGAATAGATAATAAACAAGAGATGATAGAATGACATCGGGACAGAACAACAGTGAATCGTTTTATTATGAGACCAGCAACAACGCTAAACCATACAGTATAATACAGTATTGGCAACGAGAGGTTTGTTTTCTACATCGCAGAACTTTACAATTTTCAACAATGCCCTGCCCAGTTGATGAATTTGGTAGCCGCACCTGCTAGCTAACGCCCGCGTTCACCACATGGAGAGATACCAACAACGATGAAACTGCACACTTCTTTACCACAAAATAATAGATAACCGCATCGATACACCGCTGAACATTCCGCAGCCAACTTCAAGATTTGCACAAAATGTAGACTGGCAGTGACGAGATTCAAATCATCGTGAAGACATCGCTTGTTTGTTACTGTACGTGTCGATCATTTTCTTATGCCTGAAGTAATAGGTCATTTCCACCTGTTACAACTCACCGATTCAGGACACCGCATTTATAAAAGACGAAGCCCAACTTGTTGCGTAGGGAGAGGACGGTCTGCGTCTATTTGAAAGCACAGTTCACGACATGATCGGTTTCTGTGGTTTCCCACTACAATCAAACAGGGGTCCCTAAGGATAGTAAATGGACCACTGTCGGGTTGTAAAACGGCCTAAACAATGCGTAACAAGGGCTCCAAAACTGGTTTGGCCTGGGCAGACACTAAACGTGGACGTGTTACTACTGCGCTATTCACAGGAAGAGACGAATAGTAGGCTTAAATGAGAGACACCCATCTCGTACAACTCTTTTTTGTTACTTTTCTGAAGTTTTTTTTAATCGGACAATTTTCGCGCTACAAATGAATAACTCAAAATTATCGTGAACTGTGCCTTCAAGTGGCATCCAAGTCGAAATTTCATCTTTATAATAGCTGTATCCATCAAAAAAAAAACTTATATAGTTTCTTCCATAATGACCTAGTAATCAGAGAAAATTATGTAAGTCAGCAGGATCTGTTTTCAAAAGTGTCACTGATCTGAAATTGTCAGGAATCGAAAGGTTCTAGTCTAGCGAACCCTGTCAATATCGAAAACCTTTTCTCTGGGTGAAAACACAAAACTAAAACTCTACATGGATCACTCTTTTATGAGCGAGAGATCTTAAATGGTAGCCATACTACTACAGTATTATCACAATTGCAGAATCGTGCGCTACATATTCACCCTAGTAAAATAGATCTTTGATTTTTTTTCAGTACTTACCACTTCATCGCTAATTTGAATGATGATAAGGAAGACATATTGTCGCCGTTCGTATTCAAGTACCGAACATCGCGTGATGGATACCAACCCCTGAAAGATGACATTGGAGAAGTGAGGAGAAGTGATGGAAACATGATTCATGTCTGTTAACGACAAAGGATTCGAATACATCTCTATTAAGCGGATAAACTTGACATTACAAAATTTAATATCAAAGCTTTAACAAGCAGCTAGAGTTGTGCAACAGCCTTGGCATTTGTGTTAAGGTTAATCTGGTTGCTTACACAAACGCACACACATAAGATAAAGTGCTTAGCGTATCATAGCATCGCATGAGAAAGAAAACGCTCAAAGTATGGAGCCGCGTGGGGAAGAACGATACGCAAAGGCAGATTTCAATCATTTCATTTGACCATGTTGATTGTTGACAGAGCAGTGAGCATGCGGTGAGAAATTTCCTATTCTCGGCAAGCAAACTCTTCACCCTCTTTACCTCAACTTCTCTACCCTGCACCCTTTCACCGTTCCATCCAAGAGATCGTGAAATATGCTACGTTGCAGGGAAGGGTAAGTTCAAATACTACTGCACAACAATCAAAACTTCCCAGACTTCAGAGTGAAGAAACCTACCATTTATTCTCGTTTTCGAAGAGATAAACACAAATGTGAGAATCCCTTCTATGTGCTGATGTGCGGCACTCAGTAACAAGTTCGCTTGGCAAACCGCCGTCTACCCGTGCATCTACAGGATCTATTACCCTGCAATATCAAGAGCATGTTAATAAATATACAAAACCGAACAAAAATACAAGAATGAATAGGGGCAGAGCTTGAATGGGACAAACCGTCCAGCGATTCCATCAACAACAACCAAATCGTTGTGATGGTACCCATCGAAATCACTCAATTCCTGCAAAAATTACCGATAACCTCAAAAACGCTACGGAATGCAAACTCATAATTAATTTACTACTTTGCGAGAGATGCCCGTTTTCTACTTTGGAATTCAAAAAATGCTGTTATTTAATAACATCTATGCTTCCAAACTCCCACAAAGTGATTTTTAATGCGATTTAAATTCATGATGTTTGACGTATTACGGTTTCGATACAAAAATTGGGTAAAGATGGCGTACAGACTCATACGAAATCTAATGCATTTCCACCCACTGCTCCAATTTCATTTAGCTTCAAGCTCAGGAGATCAACAGAAACTTTCCCGCCACGACTCTTTTCTAATGGATATTCCAGAACAAATCGCCCTCCAGATCAAAACGGCGGTACTTCTCCACGAATTCCCCACGTTCACTGGGCCGCTCGCTGCAAACCTTTTTAAGCTGTCTTGCGGCTTCAAATTGCAATTAATTATTCAGCCCCCTCCTTCAATCGATCGACCCCATTTTTTTGCCTGTTTGCTCTACTGCTTCGTTTTGCTTATTTTTTCCTAGTTTTTTTCATTGAATTCATGTGTTCGACAAATAATTAGATACACAATCAAATAGAGATCATTATTATTAAGTGCCAAAACGAACCTCTATATCAAGCTTTGCATGCTCTCCAAGCCGAGCCCTACGACGGTTTGCTCTGCCGTCTTCCTCCTCAGCGGATGACTCGGAAGATGGAATGTCAGCTGATAAGGGACTGAAACAACCACGTACAGACCGTATATGCAAAGTGCGAATCTTACAGAGATCACTTGCAATCAATCAATGAAAAAAATATTAGAATTCATGCTTCCTCTAAAAATGTAAATCATAATCGGAACCTTTTCACGGAATTGTCACGGAAGGCCATTAAAGGTGCCGCAACATGATGTCGTAAAGTTGAACGCCTTCCAGCGGAAAGATTAGACGACAGAAACTTCGTGATAGGCGACTGACGGAATGGGCTTTTGACTGTAATAACATAGACATCACTACCTTACTAGATTCCTCGGGTTAAATTTGAAATTTAAAAAAATACAAAGTTGCGTCACGTTTGACTCTAAGATCACGATAGCAAGTACTGAAATGACGAAAGTAAAAAGGGCGACTCACTAAAAATAGGGTCTTTCCTTCGCCGTTTATGGATAGGAGTATGATCAGTGGGGCTATTCCTTCGCTTCGGTTTCGGTGCAGTACCTGCAAATCTCATTCGTTTTCTTCACTCATCAAGATAAGAACATTGCAACTGTACCGTTGATGTTGAACAGTCCCCCATTTGATTCATTCGGAACCATGAATGAACCCAACCCTAACCCGCCAACAGCACGCTTCGTCTCAGTGGTGACGACCGAGGCGTCTTTCACGGTTCGAGGTCTGTTGTTCCTGAAAAAGGGAATAGAGCAATCAATCATTCAAAAGAAAAGGCAACAAGTACTTAGGGTGCTCCATAGCAGTGAATATCTTTTGCTGTGTAAGAATGAATACTGACAGTCCCAATCATGATGCTAGTTATGAACCACAGTCTTTCACGCTTGATGAATGAGCGTCAATAGAAGCGTAACAAACTTAAAGCGAGGGCTATTCTGGCTTCAGCTAATTTGTGCTGAGCGGAGGGGAGAGCAAAGACTGGCTCATAACAGCACCGCCAAGAAAGCTCCCTAAGCATTTGTGCTTCGCTCTTGCTGTTGTTGTACATGTTAAAGCTTCGCCTACGGAAGGATAAGGGCGGACAGCCAAATCAGTTTGATAGCCGGGTCGCAGAAAAATTATCCAAAATTGAAAGAAAAGGAACCTATGATTCCTTACAATGATTTACCGTCAGCATCTACACTGTATAAATCCTAGCACCTCACAAAGGATAACTTACGAATCCTACGCTTGTAAGAACAATAGTCGGACCGTATAGGGCAACTACTGCTACAAGCTCTACTGATTGAATAAGGAGAAGCTTCATAACACCGAAAATATCACTGTGAGAAAGGGCGTTTTTTGAAATTCGGAAATTTTTCTGAATTTATTCCTCAGACGACAGGATTATCAATGGCAGCAAAACGTAGCCTTGTTGTGGATCCGAGATTTTTCTATTTTTCTTAGTTTGCCGCGACGCCCTGTTTTTCAACTCAATCGCACGAAATATCGCAGGGCGATATTGATCTTGGCGAATATTTTCTTAATTCTCTCTGCGACCGTAACTTTACATCAAAATCCAGACAAAGGTTGAGGATAAGATGTAGGCACATCTCAGCGAATTTGCAAGAAAGAAATTGGATTTTTGCTGGAAAAGATTTGGAACCCCCTATGATTCGCGTAACAGCAATGCACCACAAGAATCAATATTAAATAGAAGACATCACCCAAGAATGCTCCGTAAGAGAAACTGATCAGTCACTATAAAAACCTTTGAATCTTCTCTGTGTCTGATTCCTGCTCACTTTCTTCTTTCATGACCTCAGACTCCAAAACATCGTATAATCCCACGCGTGATACTTCCTTCAGAAAGGACTGCTCCAAGTCACTCGACAGTAGCTGAAATGACAACAAATTACGGACAAATACATAATGTTAACCATTTGACCAGCGCACGCTAACGCGTGTGTCATTTGTCCACAATCGCTTATGATTTTACTCAGGAGAACCATCTGAACATTTCTCCGCCACTCAGAATAAGTAGAGTAGAATACACGATACTACTTCACCCGAAATTCCGCTCAGGTTAATTTTCTGAAAGTGACGCTCCTAGAGAGAATTGTTTTAGAGTAAATGGTTCTTCCAGTTGCATAACAGCGTAAACATTTAGATGCGAATTCCCGCTTAAATTTAAGTGTAAGAAATTCTGCTGGGGTCTCGACAGTGTAAGGAATAGAAGCACGTTGCCCGGAGAGCACAAGTACGGGTTTTAGTCCCGTCCGAAACGGAAGTTTCATCCACGACTCGCCAGCATTTTGAGGCTTTCGGACCGCGTACTTCGGCGAGAAAACCGTTAAGGGTTAACGAAACACCAATTCAAAATAATACCAGTGATAATAATAGTAATATTAATGAAACCATGAATGGATCCCACTAAAGCCTGGAGGCCAACAAAATTATGATGAGTAAGGTCGATGTATGCTAGGCATGCCTAAATCAAGCGAAGCTTCGATTACGATGGGATTGCAAATGTACGGTGGAGGCTACGGTTATTCGCAACAATTTGCTCTTCTTCCAGAAACGCTTTGTCGTCACACATGCGCCACTGCTAGGGCTTATGAAGAACATTACGTCAGAATAAACACACATACCGTGTTTGTGATTTCCCCTCTTCCTACACTTATGTGCGAACAAAACTTTCTCTTAATATTGTGGAACTTATCTGGGAACGAAACTCTCTTTTGAAGTCGTGGATCATCAAACAGTCCAATCACAACGCCTGTGAAGCATGTTTGTCGCATTCAAAGTTCGATAGAACGCGGCATTTCAGCGCAATAAGAAATGCCCGCGGATTTACAATTACGGAATTGAACTCCGCCATATGTTCACTATAGCTCAGATTTGATACGAACTGTGATGTATTATGTTCTACGCGCACCTACCCATGCGCCAGGGAAAAGGAAATGAAAAAAATATGGTCTCGATCCGATAATCGGTTAGCAAATTCGAAAATGGTTTTAAGAGATACTGTAACAGCTAGGCTTATTGTGATAAAAGAACTTGCCGAGGGACGAGGGCAAAAAAGGATTATCCAAACTATCCAATTGCTAGAATAACTTGGCAATTTTAAAATGGGAACATTGAATCCTGTCATCAGGAAAGCAAATTGTAACAAGAAACACTGATGTTGGTCGCGGTGACACATCTTTTTCTCATTACTCATTGAACAATAAAAACTACCACTCACCTTCTCTAATGAACGTTCCCTTTCTTCTTCCTTGTCCAATATGCCAAGTGCTATTTTGCGGAATTTGCGACCATATTGCAAAAAGTAAGGGTTTTCGAGATTAAACTTCTCGCAATTGTCTGTCATCAAAAGTACGTCGGTCCGCAATGCTCCAATTGAATCTGAAAAGCATGATTGCGAAGGAGCGCATACTTCCATCGATTTATTGGGAATGATGGATTGGATGAACTTAAACAATGAGAAATTTCATTTTCCTAAATAGAAACAAGTCCGTTTGAGTTGAAGAGACCGAAGCAGGTAAGTGGTATTTGGGCATACAAACAAGCATGGTCCAGATATTGGATAGATTAACTGGTGCTGGAGTGAAAGATAAACTCGTTAACTTAAACACTTGTCAGCTACCGCAGGTCATTGTACAGGCCACGCACACAATGGGTGCTCCATTACTGGTACCGACGCCCACTACTGCAAAAAAAACCTCTCGAAATGTGACCGTCCAAGCCAGCCGTCTTGTGGGGACCAATAACATTTGTAACCTAGTAGGTGTATGCGAAAATCAGCCGACTTACGCTTGTAGCTGAAGCTGCTCTAGAATATAGTCCTTTAATTAAGTTCCAAACATGGCATACCTATTGCAACAAATCTTTCAACTACGACACCCTATCCAAGACATAAATATTGCAAACGGTTTTGCGATATTTACACATTAGACAAAGTAAAAAGTTGTCAAAGACACTATTTCCTTTATGGAAAACGTTTAACAAAGGTAATCAATAACTTCAGTCACTAAGCGCTTTTAACTTTGAACAGCTGTTAGTTAGATCTTGACGGTGGGTCATATGAAAAGATATGAGTGCTCAGCGTCAAACTCTCGAAGTGCGCTTTAAAGTTCGACTGGACTGAGGATAGAAGAATATCGAACCCAACTTGACAATAAGGTGTAGAGATAAAACAAACACAAGAGTTCAATCTTGACACGCACCGTATTTTCCTTTTTCCAATTTTTTTCTCATGGTGGAGAGATCCATAGGGTGTTTAATGAAATCCCGATAACCATCCACGGTTACTGGAGAGGTAAAAATCTGAATAAGATAAATATTTAGTCCATATTGAGTTTGCTAGAAGAAATTCTTCTGATAAGTTGTTGACTATGGAATTACCTTGTCTTTGTCCTTCTCAGAAAGTCGATCAACTAGCTCCTCTAATATCATGGGCTGTGGCTTGAGCAACATCGACATGAGCATAGCAGAAACTTTTCGCTAAAAAAGTATATGTAACTGCAGGAAGCAAGAGAACCTAAAAATGCAGCATATAGGGAAGGTTATTTATCGAATGTGCTTGTGAAACCAAACCCATGAAATGCAAGAGCAGCGTGACGGTTCTAAATAAAAGAGGCAGAAGAAGGAGTGCCACCGCTTCTCACGTTGACACCTTTGAGACGACAAATCTAAGGCAGTTACTTGATGAGTACCGAGTAGCTCTCTTTGTCTCTTTCACATGAAGAACACAGTTTCGCAAGCTCTGCTTTTCTGGAGATGATTCAGTCGCTCAAAGTCAAGACCAGCGCAGTTTTCAGAACTACCGAGACTGATCAAAATTTTAATTCCCTACAAATCACTGTGAGACTCATAAATCTGTGGAAAGGATTGCAAAAGGGGTAAGATGTAAAAGCAAATTATCACTCACGTGACTCTTCTTATGGCTTTCGCGTTTCTTCACTTGTTCACAAAGTAATCGAGTTGTTTCAAGGCTCACTCTTCTCATCATAAATTGTTCATATATTCTCTGATCCTCTTGAGCAAGTTCGGAAGCAGGGAAGTTGGAAGTCCGAGATACTTTTTGATTCAGCTAAATTACAAATTCAATTATGACAATACCCAATTGGGCTACGCACACTGACGCGTGCATCAGAATAAAGAATCTTGTACGCTATTATTAATTATTCATAGTTCCGGCCACTCCGACCACTCCGGTCTCCGAACATTGACCACTCTCCCCTGAACATCCTCCGGCCAAATTTTGTCTAGATTCTACGTCGTTTCCCACCAAAGGTGTGAGTGCTTAACAATTCCACCCGCCGAAGTTAAAGGCACAGTTCACGAAAAAGTGGTTTCGGAGATTTGCACATGGTTTGTATTCGACGCCCCCTCTGATACCAATTGTGCAGGAATGAGGTCGGAAAACGGTCTGGATAGGGCACAATAAGGGGCCGGAGAATGAGCCACGGTCGCCCTCCGCCCCTCGCTAGGCTGACAACGAAATCTAATTGCCGTTCACCACTTTCGAATTGGAGCGAAGTTGGTGAAAAATCGATAAGCTGGTTGGCAAATTACCAGCGGTCAGCTGGTCGACCGCCTCCTGGTGCAAGTATTCGGCTGCATTTCTACTATTCTCGGCCTTTATCGAAAAGAATCAGGCACAATAATCTCAAAATCTTAATATCGTCAGTAAAATAAATAATATTAACGAAGAAGCCAAAATCAGCGCTTGAGCGTGTTGTGTGCAATGGCAGACATTACGTCGCATTCGTCTACTCGCCAGAAAATTCTCTCAACCGCCGTTTTTCCATTATGAAACTCGCCCAACCCCTTTTTCTCTTTTTTTTGACCGTTTATATTTCTTTTTTTTTGCTGTTTTTCGCGTTTTATGCTTTACCATTGTCCTAATGTAGGCCTGACCTATCACTATCTGTGAAATACCGGATACCCCCAAATTATCGTGAACAGTGCCTTTAATTCTCTTTCACTTCAATTGATGCCTATTCCTAATCTTTTCTCATTTGTTTCCTGGTGTTTGAGCCTTTCTGGGACTAAATCATAGGCTAGCCTTCAGCACCGCCCACTTCATCACATATCCCGCCATCTGTGGGCAGGGCTTCGCAGCTTGAAGAGCTTCTTCAAGCCTTATAGACGCAAGAACTAAGCTCTCCACATCAGATAACCGGAACGAGCTCTCATCAGTAAGTACGCCCCGTTCCTCATTATCACTCCGCTAGAAAATTGAACCACCTAGCCTCAGATCTTGCGGGATTCTATGGATTGGTTTAAGACCTTTTTATCTAGAGCGCGGGATTGGAAGGTTAACTAGTGATATGATAGCTGCTGGTTCCCTTCAATATTTGTTGCGAGCCGAACGGAAAATCGTTCCCAAGGTGACCTATATTTGAATCGCCCACTGCAAGAGCAGTTCAGAAAATCAATAAGATAGATTCCTGAATTGCTTGCTAAGACATCGTGCTGGGGTCTAAAAGATCAACTGCTATCCAATCAACCGCTCAAAAAGAAAGTGACCGCTCTTGTGGCTGACTGAATAATTCACGGATACTCTCGCGACGTCATGCGGTCGAATAATGTAATGTATAATGTTAATTGAAGGTGATTAGCTTCTCATTCCCACGCCAGAACTTGTAGTGACTTTTCAAATGGTCAACTCGGTGATTGCTGAAGAATAAAAAGAAGCTGTTCATTAATCATTCCCATACATATATTCCACTTTTTCCTGTTGCGACATTTGAATGAACGGTCCGTACAACGAATTGTTAGGGCCAGCCAAGCTACGAGTCAATGGTCCTAATCTTCTGGACAAGCCTAGTTGTGAAATACTACGGATGGTTTAGCTGCTCTGCACGTATATTAAGGCGTGGTTTGAGCAAAAAACACACATGTGATGCAATGGTTGGCCCTTAACCACCTGTGCCCAGAGAAACCGCTAATAATCTACTAGAGGCAACTCAAACCAATTATAAAGTTCACTAGGAGCCCAATTAAAAAACAATATCACATCGCTGTTGGGAGAAGAAGCAATGGTCTGTCATCTATATCGTAAAAATCGCCTACACAGTGCGGAAATCTCTGGGCGTTTTTGCTGTGTTGGGTCCAGTGCAATTGGTCTGAATAAACACTGGTGTTTCAAGAGAGTAATGCTGTTTGTGAGTCATGCGTCCAGAAGAACAATTATTTTTCCCCGATCTAATATATTACACAATCTACATAACTGAAAAAATTAAGGTCATCACAGCAGCACGTTGAACATTCACACAGGTTAGGTGATAATTGTAGCAGTTGCGCAAAACATACAAATGGTACTATGCAAAATTCTGGATAACTCACACCGTCAACTTAGTAGGGAGTACGTGCACAGTGCACACGTCAAAGGCAATGGCTCAACTTGCTTCCATGGTATCGTGCTATGCTCAACGCACACCCAATGAAAACTTTTGAAAATTGTAATTCTTAGCTCTATGCCAGGGCAGAAAGCGGAAAACCGTCCAGAGGGAGGATTCAATGCGGAAAGCAACACCTCTTATTAGTCATGAACAAAACAAGGAAAAATTAGAGCTTCTGCAGCTTATCATAGCAAAAACCATAACACAACATCATATAAATTACCTGTAGCCTCCTAATCAAGGGAACACCGCATCGACTCTTCCTTTTCAAATACCAGTATTGAACTATATCTTCAATATCAAAACCAACTAGAGCTTTTATGCTTTCCAACGATTCAACAGAAAGTGTTGGCATGCTAAACGGTAGAATAATCGTTAGTTGAATAGTGAACATGAAGATATGCAAAACTTACTTCACACTAGGTGATTTACAAGTTTTTGCAGCCATACTTCTTCGAGCTCGTCTTATTGCTTCATCCATCCGTTTTTTACGAGCAGCTGGGTCACTTTCGTCATCATCAGCATGTAAGTGGCAGTAGACGAAGCGCTATAAAAAATCTTAAAATACATAACAAGACCGTGTGAACACGGGCAAAGTCGTACAAGGTCAAAATGAAGCATAGGGCTTCAGAGTAGTTGAAATTTTGCAAATCACAAGTTGGCGAAGCTAGCCTAACAAACGCGCCCCAAAAATTGAATAGAGCAAAATTGGGTCTCACACACAGGGGTTTCAGGGCAAAGAGTATGGGTACCTATTCTTCGAAGAACTGAGGAAGTATTCGTGGGACTACCTTAAAGTCGAGATAATCACTTAACGGTTCTAAATGACCCATGAATCTAAGATCAGAATCTACTTCACTGTTACCATCTATCACTATGAGGTTAGCAACATTGAACTAGTTCCCAGTTCATCTCAGTCTCCAAGAAATGGCACGTCTTAGGAAAAGTGAGCGGTAGGGAGTAGAAAGGCTATTGAACAGTGACTGCCCAACAGTCAAGGAACGAGTATTATAAAAACAATATGCCCATAATAAGGCTCAGAGGGAGAAAGCAGATCCGGCGGATATCGATTGCGCGTGATCACGTGACGGTTCATATCGATTTAAACAGAGACAGAGAGATAACTGCAACTATATTATCAGCATAACTATCAGCTGACTACTAAGTCCTTCTTACGGTGTACTCCTTTAGAACTCGGGTTGTGGAGGCTGTAGTGGCTAACCATTCGCAAGGAGGCGCACCCGTTGCACTCAGGCAACTTTCTGTAGCCAGCTGTATGCAATGGCACACCCACTCAAACAGCTCGCCCAAATGCCTCTTCCACGCTGTTTTTGCTGTCACATTCTCGTCCATACCTAATTACTTTTTTAGAAGCCGTATGTTTCTTCGAACATGCAACTTTCACGTGTTCTTCGCAACTTTTGCACTACTTAGCTGTATCGTTTCCATTATTCGTCTCGAATAGATAGCCCAAATTATCGTGAACCGTGCAACCGTTTTGGTTAAAAACACGTGACGACGACGCATTACGTGCGCTTTCACACTTTTTTGTACTGCTTTTATACGCTTGCTTTTTATACTGCTTACCTATTCGTAAATTGCTTTCAAAGTTTGAAGGTCAAGTTGGTGAAATCTGTCAGCGTAATTCCCTGGTTGCACTTTAGCCCTAGTTCTCGAGGTATTATGGGCTTTTGAAAGCAAAGTGTGCTCGACGGAATAAACTTTTGATCGTTACTGTACAGCTCTGTACTCTACTGTCAACATGTATTCATAAAGTAATTGCAACAAAGAATGGCAATTGACAAAAAAGTTATATATCAATATATTGCGTGTGGAAAGCGTACCCCTTTAAAAAAATGCGGAGGAGCAAACCCTAATAGAAACAAAAGTGTGTCATACCTGAACATCCATCATTTCAGCATTGTTGGGGTCAAGGCTGCTCTCGATTTTCATGGTCATACCCGACTGCTGAGCACACGTGACATGAAACGCTTTAAGACAACTCCTAGTTGAGCACTGCAGACAGGCACCCATCTTTTTCCTGGAACAACATAATGATAGAAAATAGTGGACTCAACTACGTATTAGGATAAATAGCGAGAGCAAAGCGTGTCTTACCGGCACACCAAACATTTGAGCTTGCATCTACGTTCGAGCGAAGCGTCAACACCCTCAATTGGCTCCAAAAATACGAGGTTCCCAAAATGTACCTACAAAACAATTATGAGTGGGAACGACATTGATTGTTTTCCGAACAAAACGAGAACATTACACACCTACAACGAATCGCATACAATCGCACTTCGGTTCACGTAGACACTTGAGGAACAAATGAAAGAAAAAAAAANAAAAAAAAACAAACAAAGAGGTACTGCACCTCGTTGAGCCATATAGCGCAAATCACATGCGCCCATCTCCCGTCACTTGTCTGTTTGAATGCACCGCTTGTATTTGGGCACAGACAACACTCCACTTGTGCAGAAGGAGAAAGTTTGCATCGACGACACAACCATTGCCCTTCGGGAATGTAAGGCACACCGTAACAATCCTTTAAAAAGCTCGAATTCGGCGAGTATACACATGAGTGGTATCAATGCAAAGAACTTTTTTAAATTGTCTTTTGTGGCTCGAACAAAAATCATAATTGATAAATACGTACTTGGTGGACGGCAATGTTGCACATATCGCAGTAGATTATTTGGTTCACGTTATTCACGTCTCCGTCGCCACAGACACAGCAAACGTCATCACCGTCCATGGATGATCCGGGCATGATAGATGACGGCGATCCTTTCACCTATACGTTTTTACTATACTTTTCTTCATGCCCACTAAAAAGTTAACGAAGAAACATGTATTCGAGTGCAGGTAGAACTAACAATGACAAATAAAAAACGTTCAACTCCCTGACACACCAGGAGCATAAAAGATGAATCAAATAAGGACGGCAGGGTCATTCGCTGCACTTCTGTTAACTCCTCCCAAGCATGACTCTATTGCACTTGGATGATAACTAACTATGTTCGATCGAAGAAGAAATTGACATCAAGTAACAAAATAGCTAAATTGAGGTGAAGTAGGAAGTTGGATATATTATGGTGGAGAAGAGAATGGCTATAACGAGCACGATTAGTCTGGATCAAAAATCTGTTACTGTTTGAATTCGGGACAATGTTTCAAACTGACGAGCTTCGATGGAGGTAAAGGTAAAAGAAATGTGTTCACAATCCTAGAAGAATTAGTATAACCCCATGAAACCACTGTTCAGCATTTGCGCAGGTTTCTTGATCATCAAAGTAATCTTGGTCAATACATTCGGGAGAGGAAATGAGAAAAAAGTGAAAGGTATTGACATAAGAACAATGAAAAGTGGCATTAGCAAACCTCAAAGTGACTTTCTTTCTCAAGTCGATCCATTACTTGCTCCATTTGTTCAGGTAATAAAAGGCTAGCTTTGTTCTTCTTACGTTCTTTGTTAATATTTTTTATCCAAAGATAATCCTGAAAGTTCATTAATTGAGAAAAAGCTATGGCGTAGTAGGCAGGAAAAGAAACAAAATCAAAACCGCCGGCTGATACAAGATATACCAAAAAACTGAAAAAAATGGAAAATAGAGCACACCTCTTCATCGCAGTCATATTCCACCATTCGGTCATAATCGGACTTGGTCTTTTCGACAAACTTTATGAGCTGCTCAGGGCGTCTTCGGGGTGGCAAGGCAGTAACAAGAGAGTCAACAGCTTTGTATTCCGCCGCAGGAACGGATAAATCACTAGCTTTGAAGTGCTGAAAATGAAGTTATGACTTAGAAGACATTGAAAAAAAGAACAGTTGAAAATCTGGATGAGACCCTTCGTTTAATTCAATCGCTACTCTTCATTGAATGAAGTGAGAGGAAATAGAACTGTTGGGGCAAATAGATTCGAAACATTTCCGACTTTTGAAGGGGATAACAAAAATTTACATCTATTTGACTGGCACCTTTAAAGAGTGCACTTTATTCTACTGTTCCTGTATAAACACAATATTATGGGGCATTCACTAATGTCTGGAATGTTATTGGATGCAAAAAAATGTCAAAGGGATGTAAGACTCTCAAGATAAAGTGACAGCAATTTTCAAAAGTAGCAGTAACATTTCCTTTGAAGAAAACAAAAAATAAAGCGGATAACAAACCTCCTTATAAGCTTGAAGGACGACTGCAGCTTTCTGATCGGAAGGGAGCTTCGAATCATCAGCATAAGTGATATTACAAAAAGAATTTACGTTAATCCGATCTCCGTTCCGAAGTTGCAGGAACTTAACGCTCTCGGAGGATGTTGTCATAGTCTGCTAGTAATTTTCTTGATATTCACATTGGAATAGGAATTGGCAATTGTGTGGGAGGACCTCCTTTACGATGGGAAAGAAGAAGACTCTACTAATGAAACCACTGCTTAGCAGAAATCTGAAAAACACATTAAGATGACAGAAACGGAGAAAACACGCAAAACGCCAATTCCATACACATCTGATCTAGAATGTTTATAGGTTTGAGATCAACAGGATAAGGGAATTCAAATAAAACTAATGTTGATCAGCTGGAACATTGCAAATGTTTGAGGATCAAATGAGTTTGAGAGTTTATTGATTCACACCCACAGCGGGGCTTCGCTACAGGACCCTTTGATGGTGCATTTGCAGAAACCATATCAAACAGCCGCCGAGAAAACCCGGGTGTGTGTCAAGTCGTGCGTCCGAGAGTGCGCGCGGCAAATTGCGCGGCGAAGTTCGTGGCGAGTTTGGACGACTCCGGCGCCTATCATTGGGGCCCAAATCTGAAGTAAGGTAGATTAGTAAGGTCAGCTGATCCTACTATTCTACCGCACTTCGAAATTGGGCCCAAATAATAGGCGCCAAAGTCGCCAGAATAGGTATGGATTTCGCCGCGCAATTTGCCGCACGCACCCTCGGACGCACGACTTGACCGTCCCCCAGCAAACCCCAGACCTGATTAGCCTCAATGGCTAGCCTGGTTTCTCTTTTGTGTCAGGCTTTGAGTTCTGTCCAGGGGGCAATTCGAACAATTTGTGAGACCATTTGAGTGGAATGTTTATGTAAATAATACTTTGCTTCCGATACCTATTATAAGTATGCTGCTCGAAAGGTCACTGCAATTGTACAGTTGTTTAAAACTCCCAAAGCATGGGAAGATCGCTCTAATACTCAGCTCCGAGACATTTAAAATTCGAAATAGCATTTACAAAGTCTAATCCATATGAGGCTACGACAATTTCACTACTGGAGAATGCCCAAAACTCCATACAAAAAGTGATGAGTGATTATTAGTGCTGTATTTCCTCTACGAATGCAAGCCTGCTCACATAGGAGTAAACATAAAATCAAAAAATCAGTACTGCACGTTAGTCATACAGTAACTCGTCTACAGGTCCTACCTAGATCGTGAGCGCGTGATTCAATGCTATCCCCTAGCTCTTCCGTCACTTGCCTGTATCGTTGCCAAAAGTCCTTTTTCGATGCTTGTAAAGATTTTTATATTTGATTAGAGCATTGCCGTGAAAAGAAGTAATGTATGTGCAATTTTGCGTGCATCACATTTGATTTTGTAGATTTTTGTAAGAATTACGTGCCGCACCAGATTTTAGTTTCTGTGGAGGAATACAAAAGCTTTGAGAGATTTTCCATCAATAGAAGATTGGTTTTTCACTCAGCAGTTCAAGAGA